TTAGCAAAATATCTCATGAACCATTGGGCAGATTTTAATCAAACTTTTAGGAATTAATCATTGGAAGAGCTTCTACAGCTGATTAATTTTCAGAGTCGATCCAATTCAAGATGGCTCCACAGTTAATCGATATAACCCACTCAGTTATACACATATATTAGCTAAACTCTGATGTGTTAGTAGCTGAGAGTGAGAAAATGCATAATGTTATTTTCAAGGTTTGACCAAACGGCTACAACTCCATCATTTCTTCACATAAAACTGCACCAGTGGCCAGTTAAAGTTAAGCTGAAGTCTTTCTGATGAAACCCCACATCCCTGCACCGCTCATGTTTATACCAGCTGTTGGATTTTCCCTTTCCTCCACCCCTCCTTGCCCTTCTTCCATGTGTTCAAGCTGCTCGTTGCACATGTCGTGCAGACGGGGGTGAGAAAGCACCTGCTTCCAGCGAGGAGGTGGAAACCTGGGGAGGTCGGCCCCGACCATTGCGCACAGAGGTTGGGTTACCCAGAGCGTGCGCACAAGTTTGTGCAGCAGGTCCCCCCTCCCCCCCCTTTTTTTTTTGTGTGTGTGTGTGTGACAAACTAAACCAAAAGAATTGGCTTTTGTTGAAAAAGTCTTCTTAATGCTACACAGTTTAATGTGTCGCGTTGTCCTGCACTGGATGAGCGACCGTAAGAGCGCAGCAGCCGCAGCCTTTGCGGAACCGCTTCACGGACTCGGCTCGTGATGTGATTGGATGAGAACTTTCAGAGCGAGCCGGGACCTCGGTTCTCACATCATTAGCTGAAAAAAAAGGAGATAAAGCAAAACAAGAAAAGTTAGTCCGAAAGTGCGCGTGAAGTGGAGCAAAGTGATGCGCGTAAAAGAAGAAGGGATGCCAGCCAGGCGTGGCTTGTCTCTGAGTGTCCAATGTGAGGGCGCGTGGGGAGGATGTATATAACAGAGTCCTGCCGTTTGATAAAGTCATGATAAGAGCAGAGGACTCCCTGACAAGAGGATATTTTTACATTATTGTTATGTTTTGGAGGAGCACTGCTGCGCGCTCGGGATGTTGTTTGATTTTTCATTTTGTTTTTGATTTAGCGTGAATGGACCGGACTTCTTCTTGCGTCAACTTTCTAACTCACTCCACCTCAAAATGCCCTCGCTGAATTTGACAGCTGTGCACACCATGGCGGAGGTGGGCAGTGTTCTGGGGACGCTGGACTTGGATTTACAGAGCTTCCCTTCGCTGGGGAACAGCATGCCCCTGCCGGAGCCCCCCGTGGGGCTGACGGAGCGGCTGGGGCAGATTGAAGGCAGGCTGCAGCAGGGGTCCCCCACGGACTTTGGACACCTCAAAGGGATCCTGAGGCGGCGGCAGCTCTACTGCAGGACCGGCTTTCAGCTGGAAATACTACCCAACGGCACCGTGCACGGCACGAGACAGGACCACAGCAGGTTTGGTGAGCAACTTTACGCATCCTTCAGCTGATTCAAATGTCCCCCTGCAGCCTCAGCTGATTTAGATGTCCCCCTGCAGCTTCAGCTGATTCAGATGTCCCCCTGCTGCTTTTGCGAGATACACGAGGACAGATCTGTGTTCCACAATGAGCACGAATGTGAGGATATACAGGTTTAAACTCTAAAACAAGGCAAAGTTAGATTAGTTAGGCAGATGCGACAAGTATGGCAAGCCAAATTATTATATAATAGACAAGCTCTTCTAAAGAAGACATTTAAATTTGGGTTTTATTCAGCTATTGAGATTGTTGTGTGTCATGTTCTGATATTTCAAGAACCAAGACAAACTGCTTCCCTTTTCTAATAGGACCCTCAGCTCCACATGAATTGACTGTTTCAGTTTAGTTCATGAATTTAAAGTTGATTTCTTAGACTTGGATTTATTTAATGTCATGACTCTTTTTAATTTACATCCATTCGTCCATCCGTCTGTCTGTCTATCTATTGTGAATATTTGAAATATAATTTTCACAAGGAGAAACCTGCATTTCAGATAATTGAAGCAATCAGTTTATATAAGAACTGATAAATAGGAGCATTCAGAACTCATATTGTGACTAATTAAAAAGCCATTTCAGACTAAAGAGACATGAAACAAGTGATTTATCTCAAAAGGCATTTTAGATATCCACTGATATCTTTAAATGAGGGACTTTGTAAAAACAAAAATGAGAATTCTGTTGTAATTTAAATAATGTGAGTGTCTCTTTGTACGAATTCGGTTTTAGAAACCTCAAATGTTTAATCTGTTATGCGTTTGTGTGCATCTGGAGCTGAAAGCCAAGTTTACATGAATGGAAAAAGTGGACAACATTTGAGATGTCTGATAAGTTGATTGTAAGCAGGAAGAAGGTCCTCCGGTTATTGTAAATATTCCTTGATCAAAAAGAACAACATTACGCATGTATGCAACTCATGAACACATCAACATATGAACTGTTATTTTTTAACTTTCCTAATATTTCACCCTCACCTTGAAATGGGTTTTAAAGTGCAAATGTTATTTTGAATACCTTTAATTTCAGTTCTGGACAGTATGTTTTTTTTAACAAACATGAACGCTAATTAGGCTTTACCAACAAAAAGTATATACTAGTTGAGTTTGATTATATGTTACAACGGCCTGCCACAGTTCACCATCCCAGGGGAGCAAACTTGTGCGTCACTATCACCTCGCACGCGGGAGCGCAATGCCACGCAATCCCCAATGCGCGTGAGACGCAGGTGTCTCCTCGCAGCCGCAAACAAAACAAGCTCGCAGATGCGCATGCGCTTCCGTCTCTCCGCTGTCTGCCCATCAATAACTAAAACAAGGCCGCCGCACTCATATGCAGGAATTACTCCTTCATTCAGCATCAAGTGTCACCAAGTGGAGGTCTTTGTCGTGGGAGAAGGAGAAGCTGAACAAGCAGGGGTCAAAGGTCAGACGGGGGGCGCATGGCTCGGCGCCGGTCCCGTGTCACAGGTGCAGGCCGGCTCGCCCGCTGCGGAAACGAATAACTCAGGATTAAAGCGTGACCACTGCGGAATCCAGAGGTTTAATGTTCAGGCTCGAGCCCAAAAAAAAAAAAAAAAAAAAAGCGGGGATGGGTGGTCCGCATGCTTGTTTGTCTCTGACTTCACTTACAGCTTTAAATTAATATTTAAGAACAAGAATGCAAGGTCTATGTGAGACGTGGCTTTGATTAGAGGGACATGAAACACACTCTTCCCCCTCCACAGAAACAAAGAAAATAACAAGAAATTATAGAGGGATCTTCTCTGGCAGCAGATGAGTTGGAGGAGATGGAGACCAGGTGGTTGGAAGCTGTTGGCCTCTGCCAGTCGGAGCAGCCAGCTGGATCCTCTCTGACTAACCTCTGCATCACCACAGCCACTGGCTTTTCATTTTACCACTTGTTTCCTCCACCTTTGAAGTCCAAGTTTACTGTCACTTCCTGGAAGTCAGACAACAAGTTAGCCGCCACTCAGCTCCATTAACGTGTCCTCTCCGGCTGTGGAAACAGCCGCTGGGGAACTCTGTACGAGGCAGGATGAGAAGAAAGGTTCAACCAGTTCAATACGGTCCCCCTGGAGACGTGTTGAGCTGCAAAACCGTCAGCGTACCTGATCTAAACGAAGTTGTTGTTTTTTTGTTTTAAAGCCTCCGTTTTGATGTATGAACTGCATAAGAAGTTTGTAGATAACCAAAATCTAAATAAATGTTAAAGCTGCTGCGGGAGGTTCCATTGATCACCATGGTAACCCTGTATCTGCGTCTCTCACTCCCTGACAGCTCTTAGGTGAGGCCTCAAACAAACAGCCGCTGTGAGAAAACTGTAAGTCGGATCTTGAAGATTTTTGAGGCGTGAGTGGCAGAACACAGTCAGGCATGCACACTAACTGCTGGGCTAAAAACAGGGTGGTGGGGGGGAGTTGGGCGGGAGAGGCTCTGGGGGTCCTCCCCCAGAAAATTTTGAATAAAGTAGATGCGATTTCCTACATTTTGGTGTATTTTAGCAGGTTGTTAAACATCTACGTTTACCTACATTTGTTGACACTCCGCTTCTGTCGAGCACCCCCCCCCCCCCTTTACTTGACTGAACTATCAAGTAAGTTGGGCTCGGATGCAAGACCGACTCTGTCCCTGCTCGTTGTTGTTCGACTCCACATGTGAACCTCCATACACCTGCCTGCATACAACTGCCTGGTTAGCTTAGCATTCACCCCATCACTCTTTTAGGGGTGGAGATTTTTTTTAAGGGTAGACGCGCAAATGCTACTAGAAGAGGCAGATCGTATGCCGTTGTGTTTAAAATGAGTGTTTATGTAATCGTTTTCAGTTTTCATATCCATTATAAGTTTTATTCGTTCAAGGCAGTCATATTTGTTCATAACTTTATTATTAGTAAGACTGAGAGTTACCAAATCAAAGCAGTTACTGGAACGCACCCTGTCAAAATAAGAAAGTTCCCGGACCCTGTTCTGGCAGGATCTGGCTCAGATTAATCACTGGGGGGTTACAAAGAGCTTGCTTGCAAAGTTTTGGACATTTTAAGACATTTCACAAGTTAGAGTGTGACATCATTAACTATGAGTTGCATTTGTCTAGACTGGACTATTGCAATGTTTTTTTTTTTATCTGGGTGTCCAAATATTTCCTTAAAAAATCTTCAGTTGATCCAAAATGCTGCTGCCAGAGTCTTAACTGGAGTTAGTGGGAGAGATCATATCTCTCCGGTTTTATCTTCTCTCCATTGGCTCCCTGTCAAATCCAGACCTGAATTCAAAATTTTACTTCTAACCTACAAAGCCCTCAACAACCTAGTTCCATCTTATATTACAGATCTTATTGTTCCATATTTTCCTAACAGAGCACTTCACTCTCAGACTGCAGGCTTACTTGTGGTTCCTAGAGTTTCCAAAAACAGAATCAGAGGCAGATCTTTCATTTATCAAGCTCCTCTCCTGTGGAACCAACTTCCAGTTTGTGTCCATGAGGCTGACACATTGTCCAGTTTTAACACTGGGCTTAAGACTTTTTGTCCATCCATTATATTTTACCCGCTTCTTCCTTTTTCAGTTCGTGGGGGTCACTGGTGCCCATATCCAGCCATCACTGTGAGAGACGAGGGACACCCTGGACAGGTCTCCAGTCCATCACAGGGACACATGGAGACAAACGAGACAAACAACCATTCACTCTCTCACTCACAGCTAGGGACAATTTAGAGTTACCAATCAGACTAACATGCATGTTTTTGATCTGGGAGGAAACTGGAGCACCCGGAGAAAACCCACGCATGCACGGAGAGAACATGCAAACTCCACCCAAAAAGGCCCCTGGACTGGGATTTTGAACTGGGGTAACCTACTCACTGAGAGGCAGCAATTCTACCAAATGCGCCACCGTGCTGCCCGGCTTAAGACTTTCCTTTTTGATAAATACTATAATTAGGGTTGGTTTGTTATGCCGCCTTAAGATTAGACTACTGGAGGACAAATTGACCTCATTTCCTTAAACGAATTGTTAAAAATTGAATAGTTTTAATTTGATATTATTTCTATCTTAACATGCGACTCTCAACCTGCCATTGTGTATCTGTTCCTCCTTCCTGTCCTCTCAAACCCAGCCGGTCGAAGCAGATGGCCGCTTGTCCTGAGCCTGGTTCTGCTAAAGGTTTATTCCTCACCAGGGAGTTTTTCCTTTCCACTGTCACCTTCATGCTTGCTCAAAATGAGAGTTCTGTGATGGAGTTAAATTCAAAGCAGTCTGCTCCTCAGCTAATGAATGTAAAATTATTATTTTATATATGAATGTTTCTGTTCAGTGTCCTGAGATGACTTCTGTTGTGACTTGGCGCTATACTGTATAAATAAACTGAATTGAATTGAGTTGAACATTCTGTGAGAAAATCCAGAAATCATAAAACTCAAACTGTAATTATGTAAAAACCATAAAAGATATGTCTGTTGAGACGTTTAAAGTCCACCTTTTTGTTACCTGTTGAAACTTTGAATAAAGTTTCTACCATGCAGCATGTCTGAGCTGTAGAACTCCAAAGAGGGCAGGGTTTTTCACCTGTTACGCCAAAACACCACTGATGGCCAATGTTTTGGGGTGCGGGGTTTTATTTAAAAAAATATTTGCAAGATTTGTCTTCATTGTACAACATACATACATGTGCTGCTGATTATCCATGCTGCTGATTTCTTACCCCAAGTAGGTAATCCATACAATCTTCAGTTTTGAGATAGTATATGCAAATCTTACATTAAAATATGTGACTCGAATGGGCAATTTGCTATGACCTTTGACAGAGGTATAGATTCAAGGTTCAAGATGCCTTTATTGTCATTCACATCACATGTGGTACATGAGGTGGAATGAAATTGTGTACTCAAGGTCTCAGTTACACCCAAAATAGGAAAACTATAAAGTATAAAAAAGAAACAGTATACAAGGATTTAAGACATACGCTGAACAATAATAATGTAATATAATATGGTGTATTAAACAGCAGCCTGAACATGAGTCTGTTGTGAGCAGATTGGTACGAATACAACAGCTTATGGGTTAGTGAAGATTCAGATGGTCCCTGACAACAGCTAGGTTGTAAGACGATGTAGAATACAAAAAACAGGAACATGTCTGCATTGGTTTTTGCCAGGAAATTAACAGATGTTTAAAGCCACTTAGAGAGGTCA